ATTTTAATTTCAGTTTGAATGTTGTCGTTGTCTTCGAATCAGTGAGCAGTGCACAGCAGCGGTGTTGAGTCGATGTGAGGTAGAGGGGGAACAGGGGAAGGGGGGAGTGTGAAAGGAACGCATGAATTTGGGACCAAATACGCATCCTCTATCGGCGGTAGGTCTTAACTGACAGTAATTCGTAAGACCTCGCACGTAGATGCAATGGAAGCCGCGAATCACATGTGTGACCGTGGCCGACCTTTCATGTCATTGCAGACGATGAACTCGCACCGAGCGCGGGCATGTCCCTCCACTGTGGAAGAGAGGAGCACGACAGAAGAGATAGTTGGGGAGGTCAACGGCGGACCGTCGAATAGTGGTCCCATTGACCTGGTCAGTAGGGAAAGCCAGGAGGTTGAGCCCCCTCCTGATGTACAAGCGGACTGCGCATCCGAAGAACAGCAAGAAGAACACGCAGAGGCATTCGACAACTCCCGCAAACTAGCGGCATTGATTTTCTCGTGTAGGGGCGGTGTGGGCGTCCCAAACTGACGTTGACTGTCTGTTGTCACTCCTCAAAAATCCTAGATTTGACCCCAGAGATATCGCATTTCGTAACAGTTGTGAGTGTCTAACATGGGCAGGCCGCCAGGCTGAAGCTGCAGGGTGGCAAGAGAAGAATCTACGCAGTGATGATTGGTCCGAAGAAGCGCATGTCATTCTGTGGTACCGCGACTGGCGCACAACGTTCGCTGACCTCGTGCGTGCTGCACTGAACAACGTTGAAACGGTGTCTTGCCTCGAAATACAACATCCCAGGGAGGACATCGAAATCTGCGACTCTCGCACGGGGCAGTTGAGTCACCATGTCCAAACTGTTATCAGAGCGGACAACGGTGTGGACACGAATGGTAGAACACGTTATGTCATCCCTCTGTCTCTGTATTCAGACAAGACTCATGTAGACGGTCATCAAAAGCAGACAGCGTATCCTCTGATGATGTCAATCGCCCATCGCCCATCAGATGTCACACTGCTTGCGTATCTTCCAGTGCTTCAACACCGGCCACGTGACAAGGGATGGGGTCCGCACTCCACCGCGTTTAGAAAACGGAAAACTGTGATATTGCATAAAGCGTTGTCAACAGTATTGCAGTCCGCAAAGGAGGCATCCCATGACGGCATGATGGTAACAACGGAGCGGTTCGGTGAGATAACAGTGCACCCTTTCGTCATTAACTATATACAGGACTATCCTGAAAGGTGTGCCCTTGCAACTGTGAAATTCGGTAGTTGTCCAACATGCACAGTGTCCAAAGACGATTTGGATGTCATCGCCGATTTCACCAACTGCAGGAGATCGCAGACGATAGAGACGCAACTTGTCGTGGACTGCTTCAACAGTGGGGACAACGACATTCGTCGTGCTGCTGAGGCACGAATGTCAGAATTGGACATGCATAAGCATGTTGAAGAGAACGGCCTATGGGGATTCTACAGGGGTCCGCATGGTGACGATCCTGAACTAGATTACCATCTCGCTTTGCAACCAGACCGTATGCACACCATTAAACACGATATTTTTTTGCATATGATAGATGCATTCAAGGCAGCTGCTTATAAGAAGTTGCCAGATACCGCGCAAAGCGAGATATTGCACGAGATGGATGCGAGGTTGCAGAGCATCAGTGAGAGATTCACACGGACATACCCGCAGCTTGTGTTACCCGTAGCCACAGGTTGTGATTTCTTTTCAAGGGAAGGACGATTTGAAGCGAAGCAAAATCGGTCTGTTATGACAGTTTGCGTGTTTATTATTTGTRATATCATCCCACGTGCRACAGRCAAATCCATTTYYGCTTGTTTCATYAAACTCATGGAAATGTACATACACGTRTTTCGTAAGTCAACCCACACAGCGTCCTCTCTCGATGTTTGTGACACATTGATAGGTGATTTCATAACTAGTATAAAAACGAAGATGGAAAAATATCAAACCTCTGATTGGAAAATTTCGAAGTTGCATGACCTTATGCATTTGAGAACAAGCATAGAGCGATCTGGTTTTCCTGACACGTTCGCAACTGATGTGTGGGAGCATAATCATCAGAGGTTCTGCAAACAATCATATTTGTCATCAAACAAGCGTAAGGCTACTTCCCAGATGGTGAATCATGTCCGACGCTCCTTGGCTTTGCAGGATGAGATGGAGAGTGTGAGAAAACGCAGGAAGAGGTCGGCAGAAAATTGGTCATCCGTGATAGAGTGCATGGCCACCGGAAGTAATACCCTGGCAGCGGGCGACACAGCAACTCTACAACTCCGGTGGTTCTAGATGGACGATGTGCATTTGCCAGGCGTAGAGGGTATGAGGGATGCGGCGTTGAGAATACTTAATGAGCTTCCCCGCAGAGAGGATTTTCGAGCTGCACTTACGACGTTCATGACAGAGATGGGTTGTCAACCTCCATCTGATGACCAAGTCATACACACTCGAACACACTTGACTATCGCCTGCACATACGACGGGACGCATAGGGGCGCAAGCGTTCAGACGGCAAGAGCTTCACCACAGTTCCACGGGAGAGCCGTGCACAGCGATGTTGCAGTGAGAGGTGGCAATGACAACATATGGTATGCATCAGTAGCCATGTTTTTCGTCATGAACGCTTGCACAGGTGGTGTTGCGGAGATGCACAAGTGTTGTTTCATGCAATGGTACAAAGAGGTGGATAGCGAAAGGGAACACACAACAGGTTGTAAGAAGTTGCAATGGGAGAAGGTGAACGGTCATCAGCACAATAGCGTCATAACGATTGATATCATCATTGACACCGTTCACATTGTTCCTCATTTTTGTAAACCACAGTGGGGCTCGAAGAAGCATGCAAAAGAGAGGGAGGACAGTTTTTTCTTGAATAGATATGTACTCTAGAAGTGTACAGGGAATTACTCATTGTGAAAAAAACAAAAATTAAAAGGCTGATCGTTTTTTCGAGAACAATAAGTGGTGGGCGCAGTTGCAATGTTATACTACAGCATGCACTCAACTTTTGTTTTTCTTTTACAGAGAGAGAGAGAGAGAGAGAGAGAGAGAAGCGTTTGAACAACAATAGTCATTTGGTAAAGATGGAGTCCGAACATCGGTAGATTTTTCGAGCGCGGAGCCTGCATTTCAGACCACTGTTGCATAGCTTCTATGTCATCTTACACAGCAATGTAGAGAAAGGTGCATCAAACCAGTGTGTATGACGAAGGTAACTTCAGAGTTGACTACTGCGTGCACATGTATGGCGAACGTGGACTTAAAAAGTGGGAGGTGGCACGCACTGGTCAACCCATGTCTATACTTGCCAAGTTACTGACGAGATGTGGTTCATGGCCATGTGACTGTCATGTGAACAGGAAAGGTTGAGGTTGAGGTAACGCCACAATAACAATCTGCACTGGAAGAAATGGCAAGACAGCAAACCGGAAAATAAGCGTATTGAGGAATTGCTGAGAAGCCGATTTAGACTGACACTGCCATCAGTTGTCACATCTGTTGTACGACGGAGAATAAGGGTTATTCAGATGAGCCAGTTTGACAAAATCCACGAGGGGGTAGATGGCAACGATTGTATCATGGGCTCCAAAGCGACGGACAGTTCAGAAACAGCAAGGAATGACGAACACTCATGTGGACCAACTGTCACCGAACCGTTCCTCCCATTGAGCAGTGAGAGATCAGTGAATCGATGGAAGAGGATACTGGAGGACCCTTGGTAAGCGGAAATGTATCAGATGATGACCACAGATGACGCCCAATATCCTCAGATGGTGCATGAACCTTTGTTCAATATTGCAGGAGGCAATCGGTCGACGGGTATGACTGCAGAGGCTGGAAAGAGACCCAAGAGAGTGGACGAGGAACACTTGTTCCCGTTCACGTGGAAATCAAGAAGACACGCCATATCGATAACAAAACGGGACGTATTGCGATTGGGTGCCAAGCAGTGGCTGAACGATAACGTGATCGATATGTACTTACAGTCCGTCTATGACGAACATTTTCTAGACGGAGACAATATGACACTTCATGTTTGCACATCTTTCTGGCACCCCGCAGTCATCGCCAATCAGAATGTTTATGTCGTGAAAGCGGGATGGCAGGAGAGGATCAAGAGTACATCGCCAAAGCTACGTCGAATAAGCAATGAACTGCGAACAACAAGTGTTGTTCTCATCCCTGTGAATCACGAAAACCATTGGAAATTGCTCTTGCTACTGAATGTCGGCCAGTTTTTGGCAGTCACGGAGGACAACGATGGCCAGAAACGACCTGTTTCAATCGTCATCGATTCCTTTCAACAGAGCGGTCGACAGGAATAGAAGGCGTTGCGCACATTTTTGTGGTATGAATACCTCAGCGAGGCAGACAAAGCAGGGGTGTTGACTCCCGACAAAGTGGACACGTCGTGGGTGACATGGAGAGATCTACTTGGATCTAAGATAGTGTACGCTGAATGTTCGCAACAGACCAATACGTCGGACTGTGGTGTTTACGTTTGTTGCGTGGCAGCTTAATTGATGTGAAAGCTAGCAAAACAGAGTAAGCAAACGAACATTGCCGCAAAATATACAACAGAAGTTGTTAGCGCGATGGAGGTTAACGACCAAACGGTCGACATATTTCGTCAGTCAATGGTACAGCGCTTTGCGCAGTGTGCTGTCGAGGCAAAATGATATAACACCGCAGCAGCATGTGACATAGAAAATGTTTTCAGAGATCTTATAGACGGAACACGGAGTGGATGTTCATAAATACGAGGGCATGATAGAAACCGTGAGATCAGGAAACACGAAGTTGACAACCGCGTGCAAATATACAGAACTCACACGTCGTAGAGAAGCCAATCGACACGCAGTAGCCAACTTCTGCGCTCAGTCGATGGATGAATGCGTGATGTAATAGAGAAAAAAATATCGTCTTTCGTGTCATAACGGCAAAAAAACTCTCTCTCTCTCTCTCTCTCTCTCTCTTTCTCTCTCTCTCTCTGTCTCTCTCCCTGCGTGTGAAAATCTCGCCTGGGGTGGTGGATGACAAATGGTCGTTGTATAATATAAAATCATTCCATGTCTAGCGTGAGTGTTTGTGAATTCATGCATGTCAGAGACTTTTAATAAGCGTGAAGAGAATGGCTCCGAAGCCAAGGTACGAGGATCTGTGCAAGACCTTGAAGWCCACAKGGGGGAGAGAGAAGGGGGAGAGGACAGCAAAGGAAGGYCAGAAGAYTGTCAAGCAAAGACATACCATCAGGGATATTCCCCGATTCAAGAGACGGGAGACGAACATAGTCTGTAGAACAGAAGTTGTGCTCTCTGTCCCGCCGAGAAAAAAGCAGAGTGGGAAACTGCTCGCACACAACAAGTTACCTGCCGCAACTCCCTTGCTGCGGAAGGGACACGGCAACCTCGAGAGGCAGCCTCCGACAGCGCCACAAAAGAAAAAACGAGAAGAAAAAACACAGAGTCAACAACTGAGGACAAAGAAAAAAATAATATACAGAAAAGATAGGAGTCCTGAAGCAATCGACCTCTGAGGGTCATACGATTTACGAACCACAGAGAGAATGTCAGAAGAAATGTCAGAAGAAGTAGAACACGAGAGAATGCAAGAACGAGGAGAAGGTGACAACAGTGACGGTCACCATGATGTCGATGCAGAGGAGAGCGATCCGGAGGGAGAAGAGGCAGAGGGAGAGGACARATCCGAGGAGGGCGGAGAGGCAGARGAAGGCAACAGTGAAGACGAAGAAAGAGAGATTACATCTGCTGAGAACAGTGCACAATGCGGAACTGATGAGAAAAAGGGAGGCGCACCGGAGACTTCATCGAACGACAAACAAATTGTGGAGAGGGAGAATGTACCGCCTGAGAACAGTGCACAATGTGGAACTGATGAGAAAAAGGGAGGCGCACCGGAGACTTCATCGAACGACAAACAAATTGTGGAGAGGGAGAATGTACCGCTACAGGGTAAGATGAAGGGCACCTTATAAAGACACCACTATTTATGCACAGCACAGTCGTTGTTGCATGCCGCAGAAACGACGAGGTTCACGGGGGGGAGGGGGGGAAGGGGAGGGGGCCGTTGGGAGGGGGTCTTTATGAGAGGTGTTACGAAGTGTATTCGGAGGAGGGTATGTCAGGGGAGTTGACGGTCTTATGTTTGTTTGTGATTGCAACACATAGAACACGTATCGCGGAGGGTCTTCTTATTACTAAATCAATAATTTGTTATTATTTTTGTATTTTTTTCCATGATTGCACCAATTTGCGTAGGCGAAGCAGCACCGGTAGAGGCAATGCTTGCGAACCAACAGAGCAACAAACCGGGGGTTTTACAAAGAAAATGAAAGACAAACTGTTTCGTTCGGTGGCAAATGTTTTTTCTGAAGCAAAGGATGCCACGCTGTACCCAACGGAGGACATTTTTTTCACGGCACTGCAAACAACTGCGAAATCGATAGGAGAAGATGTAGAGGAAGGACTACGGTTGCACGTGGCAACGTACGGAATCCGAGCAGTGATCGGGGAATGCAATTGGATTATGACAACAGTCCGCGGTGAGATATCTTCACAATTGAGACATTGGTTTTGGGCCGAAAAAGGTCTGCCGCTGGTCCGGTCGGCCCAAACGGACCACCAGCTTCCGACTCGCAACAGGATGCGGACAATGATGAAAGGGAACACAACATGGAGGAGCGGCAATGATCCATGGGGCGCATCTCCTTTCAAGACGGCACTTACAAAAGTTTTTCAAATGAGAAGGGATGACATCAACCTCGGTGTAACGTTGCAGCAACTTGCATTTTCGGAACTGGTACTGAAAACTGAAGTCGAACAAACGGCAAAGACCAGCAAGGCAGCGGACCAAATACAAAAACTTTCAACTATCAAGAAAGAGATTGCTGCGTCGCTCCGCTCCCGAGACACCGTTTTAAGTTTTTCTGTCTTCAAGCTCGACCGTGCTGTTTCTGTTGCAGAGAAGGCCGTCGCATTGTACAGAGTCGGATTGCCTGCTGTACGGAGGGGAGACGCCAATAACATGACTACAATAGATGATGATTTTGAACTTGAGTTCATTGCGCCCACCGACGACAAACGTGCGGGCGGAGAGAGAAACGAAGAAAGTTTGTGCGCAAGGCCGTGAAAAGGAAAAGAAGGGGTCCGCATGTAGATGGACGGGGGTTGGGGGTGGAACATAGGGAGAAGACAGTGGTAACGGTGTTGTAGGGGACATGAGTTGCACCTCCACTCACAGTCAGTGGCATGACACTAAGCCAATGAGGACCAAAATGTAAAATATAAGAGAGAGAGAGAGAGAGAGAGAGAGAGAGAGAGAGAGAGAGAGAGAGAGACAGGATAGAGTTGTTATGCGAAAACAAAAGACTCTGGAGAACCCTTAGGGTTGAGTGTACAATAAGCAAACATGTTTTATTTAATGAGTGGTTTTTGTACAAGTCCTGTCGTGGATGTGTTTCGACCATCACGTGGCATTTACGTCTCGCATCTCACATTCTCACCATCAATTTATTGTTTACATGGTTGCTTGTCTTGCAAGGATACACACTGTGTCGTGTGTAATGTGGCCCAAAATATGTCAGCGTTTCATTATGCAAAAACACGAATCATTTGGTTCGTTTGCAGAAAACGCATTACAGACTCCCAAAAATGTTCAATATGATGTCTTGAAGCAGTATTGAGAAGACACTAGAAAATATGTTCATCTTAATACTGGGCGAGAAGTACATAAGTGGTTGACTACTGCGTGCCATGTTCTTGTCGTGCATGTGAGTGATGCTGGAAATTGGCACCCGGTAGCCAACCTGCGTTTCAATATCGTTTTGACACCCCTGTGGACATTTGCCTTTGCAGCTGCATTCAAGGTTCACAGGAGCTACATAGACCCCCGAATAATATAAATAGTAACAGGGCAAGTTTTCTTCCATCATCAGTACAGGAGGGATAATGACTCTCTCTCTCTCTCTCTCTCTCTCTCTCTCTCTCTCTTTCTCTCTCTCTCTCTCTCTCTCTCTCTCTCTCATATCATTTAAACAACATTTAAACAACATTTCATCACATTTAAACAACATTTCAACAACATTTCAACACATTTAAACAACTTGTAAACAACATTACAACAACTTATAAACAACTTATCAACAATTTTTCATCAATTGAAAAAGTGTTTAACACAGTGTCACATGTTTATGACATATGTTATCAACGTTGAGTTCCTTCACTTTTGGTGGAACACATGAGACTACCTCCGGCAAACTATTTATTAACACGAAACCAACAGTTTAAAAAGGGTGCCCGCATATGATAAACCGCCCAAAAAAAAACTCACAATTTTTCTGTTGCATCGCCCAGTCCCTATCCTCCATATCGTGGCCTTGCAGGTCGTACCTGCCTGTGGCTCGGTAGGCCATGCCTGCCTACCTATGGTCTTGCAAGCCGTACCTGCCTGTGGCTCGGCAAGCCGCGCCTGCCCGCTCGTGGCCTTGAAGGCCTTCCTGGCAGGCCTTACCCCGTTGGCAGGCAGCGTGACATCGGCTTATGAGCCCCGTGGCTCAATGTCAAGCTCCGTGGCCAAATAAAAAAACTCTTCATTCCTTCTGCGCCGCAGCCTTATACCCGGCGCATCCCCACTTTTTAGCCTCTTTAGGCCCTGAATCGCGCGGCTGACTTTACTCTAGGTAGAATAGGTTTCGTTTCTTCGTTCCAATGTCTGCATATTCCTGCGGCTTCGACAAAAGCGAAGCATTACCATACACATTCGTTACCCCTGGACGCCACACGCGTTCGGACTAACGTTCGAAAAATTTTAGTATGTAAGTCACAAGTCAGGTCTGAATATACTTTTGGCAACGTTGGTCTCATCAACGTCCGACGTTGAAAACCCCTGGCAAATACCCTTGTCAGGGTATCTGCCGCGACAACGTTTTGTGCATCGTTTAAATGTAATAGAAGATCCAATTGTCGGCAGTTCATGTTGCAATATCAAATCATAAACTGTTGTTTGTCTTAATAATGGTAGAATATCAAAGCGAGCAACTGCATCTTTATCTTGTAAAGCTGCATGAACAACTTCAACTTCGTCTAGCTGATTTATGTCTCCCAAATAAAGATCAAATAATTACTTGTTTAAATATTCATAAAGATCAAATAATTACTTGTTTAAATACTCTCGTGTTTCTATGTTTACTAGTAATCCTTTTTCAATGATGATCTATTATGTATCTTTTTCTGTTTGTTCGATGTAGTCGAGAATCTCTTTTGTGAAAGTATGAATGATTTGTTGTGTGCGAGCTTGTTTTTCTTCTTAGGCTTGAGGTTGGTCTAGATAACGTGACAACTGGTTGTTTGTACTTGTTGTATTCATCATCGTCTCTCACAAACCTATAAAAAC